GTGGTGGCATTTTAGGCAGTGGTGGTTTTGCTGATGAAAGTTGGGGTGGTATTTTAAAGGGCGACTGCTGTAAAAACAATTTTGGTGGTGTGGGTGATGGTGGCAAAAATGGTTTTTGAACATTTTGCAGTTTTGGTGAAACAGAAATTGATGATTTAATTCTTGGTGGCATAGGTAATAATTGCTTGACCGTCAAAGTATTTGATGTAGTTATTAATTTCACATTTTTGGTTATAGCTGCTTGGATCGATTGTTCAGGTTTAAGCACTATAATAAAAACAATGATACGAATAACACTCAAACACTATAAATCTAAAATATTCCATTAAAAGCGTTATAACAACAAAATAATAATAGTGTTAAAACAAAAACTCACTGTATTTAGAAGCCATTTTTTGCAACAATAGTTTTTGGTAAATGGATTGTGGGAGTACAACTTTCTTTGGAACAATAATTTTGTCTTGACATGGAGGTGATAGTGGTGCAATTTTATCTGGAGTTGAATAAAGACTTAGAACTTGATGACAAATATCTAAAAAATATAAAATTATAAGTTGACTTATAAATTATAAATGATATATTTCAAAAAAAATTTCTCACAACTGACTGATGAAAATACAAAATTACTTATAAATTTTTACATAAAAGCAAGGTTTAATATTTTTGCTCTTATATTGATCATTCTTTTAAAAATGCAGCCTAATATCACTAAAATGTTGTGCCTACGCCCTAAGCTAGTTTCAAGACTATAAGGCTCTAAATTGTTAACCTATACAATATTTACATTATTTTCAATGAATACATTTTATGTATTTAATACAAACTACTAATTCCAAAATAAAGAAAGATGCACCAGAATAATACTTCACGCATGATAATTTAGGTCTAAAAAAATATTTATTAAATATTCTATTTAAAAGTAATAGTTCAATAATATTTTTCTAAAATTTGGATTATTCATAAATTATAATTTATGAATAATCCAATAAATAATTCAATAATCAATAAATAATTATTTATGCTAGTGGTGAACTAAACAAAGACCACTCAAACTTGATTCAAATAAAACTAAGGAAAAATATGATGACCTTAAAAATTGTTTGAAAAAAAACTTGTAATTAAATGCGCTAATGACCACAAATAAAGCACAACAACTTGCTATGATTAATTAATAAATGTATATTTCTTAAAATTCTAATGACTTTTTTTTTATTTTATTAAAACTATTTAATTTATTTTTTATTTTTAGTGATATAATTTAACTAACCTTCAAGTAAATCCATATTTATTCCTTGAACAAACATATCCCACCAACGTAAATGATTTGGCGTACGACCCTTCCAATCATTAAGTTCAAATTTACTCAGTTTACATGCTAGATATATAAATGAAACTGCTATAATCTCTGGTTCCCATTGAAGACAAAGAGTTGTACATAAGCTGTAATATATAATACTTACTTTAAAAACAAATTTAATTAACTGATTAAGATCAGAGATAGACTGTCATTTTCTTTTCATTATTTTATGAAAATATTGTACATAGAATCTCATTGATAAAATATATCATTAAATTGTTTAACAATCAAATTATAAACTATTTTTAATATAAAAATATATGCTATAGATAGTCCATCCTTGAAGTCAAATAGATAGTTTTTACCTGTCATTTACAAATGTCCAAGCCATTTGAACAATTTTAGTTAGTTTAGTCTTATTGCCTGTTAAATAAAAAATTAAAATGATATAAATATTATAAATTTAAAAAATAATAATAAATATTACATACCTTTTAAACATTTAGCATATTTTAATATAAACTGATATGGATGATCAACTTGTAGATCAAATTTAATTGTTTGTAACAATATACGTTCAAGTACCATTATTTCTTCCTAAAATATATAAATATTTAAACCAATAAAATTGTATTTTACTTATTTAAATAAATAACAAATTAACCTTGGGGTCTACTCCAAGGGTTTTATATTTTTCCTTGGGTAATATTGTTTTAGCCAACTTTATTATGTCTTTACATTTTTTTGGTGTTTCTTCTACTTTACCAGCAAGAAAAAGACAACAACAAGCTGTAAGCTGAAATAAAATATTGCACATATGTTAAATTCATATAATATAGTTCAATAAATTATTGACAATAAAAAAATATTATACTACATGACAAAAAATTCCTTAATACTATGAAAATTCAAGACATACCAAAAAGTAATTGATTATAACGCATTGTAGTTTACTTCCTTCTAATTAATAATATTATCTCAAGAATTAGTAATTTAATAATAAAAAAAGTACAAAAATATGTATGTTAGATTGTGTTCATTAACAGTTGTGTTAAAGTAAGTTAACTTAATAAATTAATTGTTATTCAAATGCAACAGTGATAACCTAAAAAATTATTTTACAGGTAATGGAAAAAAATTTAAAAACAAACAAAACAGTTTGGATACCATTTCAGCACATAGTGGTTTCCAAAAGCTATATTAAAAACATTAATATACTTGTAAGTACTTTTGTGTTAATTTTAAACTTTTAATTAGCTAATCTCAATGTTATACTGTTTATAGATACTGCAACATAATAGTGTAAATAATAAGCTCAATGCTGCAATAGCAGCAAAATACAGTCCGATATAATTTACTGCCACCGCAGCAATGGAAGTAGGAGATAGTGTCGATTAGATTTGCACTGTACTACATTGATCGCCTTTAAAATAGTGTTGCCGAAAAAAATACATTTTACAATCATCAAGCAATAAATGTGATTTGAAAGTTTTAATCCATTATTTCAACGGCTGAACTATCAATAAAATAGAAAGGTTGGTAGATTTACTCAAACATTACTCACATATCTAGAGAATGTTTTAAACGAATGATACATGTAAAAACGATGAAAATAAACAACACCAGTAGCCATTGTGTTGTAACCTAAGTCCATCTTAGTGCCAGCATCTATGATGAACCTTGCCCCTTCTTGACGGTACCGGGACTCTCTCTCATGCGATATGCCATCTTGAGCAGAGGCGGTCCGATGTAGCTCGTCCTTGTCAAAATACCAAAAGGCCATTTTTGTTGTATTCAGTGGGTCTGCAAGGTATACATTATGGGTATGTGGTTATTTACACTAACAACATGAAACGCCTTAATACTTAAGTAAAAACTACTAAACGTTCATACCTCAATAGTCAAGACGACAATGCTAATACTAAAACGCCTTATATCTCTACAAAATAAACGTTTTTTATCAATGTTGCAAAGTATAAATATCACTTATCCATAAATGGAATAAACGCGCACGGGTACTTTATCATCAACCGCCAAATGTACTTCATTTAAATTTCAACGTTTTTATTTGTATAACACATATTAAAAATTGTAGTATATTATTATTTATTATCATTTGTATTTAGATGTAGAATAAAATTTTTATCCGACGCAAAAAAAAAAAATTATTATACAGGTATACCACACGAATATTCATACTTTTTAATATATATTGTTATTTTTATACCGAATATCAGTATAATATGTTGCATATTATATTTCATAATTCATATATTATTTATTTTATAGTTATAGATAAGGTGATGCGAAATTAAAAAACGAATTAAACCAACAGATATTCGAATATTCGATCTCTGTTAATCTAACTGTGATTGAAGTAAAAAATTAATGTCTTATTTATGTAGCATTTTGAGTAAAGATTGTTATAATATTATACAATATAATAATCTAAAAATTATTTTACGATTGCCTAAAATTTACCAATTTAGTATTCAAGCAATTTATTTAAGATTTATCAATCAGCACATTCCACAGGATAAATGGAATTAAAAATATTTTAAAAAAAGTGAATATATTTTACTATGTTTATAAGTTGTGATTATGTTATTTATTTGTCTATTGAAGTACAAGTAAAACCTAATACTTATTACATATTAAAATTAATTGATGTTGGCTAATAAAATTGTTATAAAAATAAATACTAGGGTAGGTTTAGCAGTGTACAATGTATATATAGGTACGCCAGAAATTGATTGTGAAATGGTAATATTATCGAGCTTAAATAAAAGGTAAGAATAATTTTTTTAATATGTAGATTGTAGATGTTATCTTAATCCTACTGTATGTATTAAAAAAATATAAACTTAGAGATAGAAGGATTAATAAAATAATTAAACAACTATTATTTATTAAATATATAGGTATTGGGTAGTTATATAACTACAATAATTAATAAAGATAATAATATCATAATTAACATCACATAGCATCAGTGGTGTAGTGGAGCATACCTATACGCGGGTATACGGCGTATACCTACTTTTTCTGTGTACACTGTATATTCATATACTTTAAGAATAACACATGAAACGTGGGTAATGCATTTAATTTATTCATTTGATAAATAATTTTTAATTAACAAATAAAATATCGAACAAACCTTATCGATTTGACGGTTTCTGCAATCAAAACAGTTGCTAATATTAAAAGTATCCATACTATTTCAGTGAAACCCTAAGGCGCAAATCGTCGATTTTTTTCGATATACCAAAACCGAAAATTCATTTTGCGCTCTTGTGTCTCACTACCAAGTACCAAGATACAAAAGCGCCAAAGTAAATATTTTACCCGTTACACTATAAGTTTCATCTTAAAATAATTAATTATTAAATTAAATTATTCATTTAAATTAAATATATATAGTATTTTTATAATTCAAAATACATCAATCGTGATCAAGTTCGGTTAAAGTTTCGTATTATCGTATCGTAATTTTATCGTAACGAATTACGGTAAAGGTTGATAATTATTAAGGATAACTACACAATATATACAGTATAAACTTAAACCAACTTACCTAGTGTATTTAATACAATTTATTTTTGTAAAATTTATTTTCACTTATGATTTATTAAAGGTATTTTTTTGGCGGCTACAGGCATGACATCAAATCCTTCTGAAAGAAATGCACAAATCAATGTTTGAACACAATCTTTACATAATTTGTTGCACAATACTTACTGTTTTTTCATATTTGTTTTGGCGTTTTTCGATTTTTTTTTCAATTTCGGCGTTGAACCTAAATGTGCATCCAATTCCCATGTATGTTCACACACCCGAAAGGTACGAAGGAGTAAATCAATTAGTTGTGAATACACAATGTATATGTCACGGGTAATGTTAACATTCGGATAATGTCGACATTATCCGGCTAATGTCGACATTAGCCATATGTTAACATTACCCGCCATGAATATTATTAAATGCCGGCAAATGTTAACATTAACCGGTTAATATGACATTAGCCAAGGACTTATGGATAATGTCTTAACAACTATAAAATTGCATCATGCATGATAGGAAATCATTTTAAATTATTAGCAATATTAAATATATTTTAGATACAATTAACCATATGCAAAAAAAAAAAGATACAATAATTACTAATTACCATAAAATACATAATACGAGTATAATTTAAATGAGCTTATTTTTCATTTTTAATAACCTAATCTACTAATAATACAATATTAAATTTTATTTTATATTTTAAGATTTTTTTTTAAATAGTATTTAAGAATAGAATGAATGTGTTATTATTTATTATTACATGGCATACTTCCATGACATTTTGAATTACACAAAATATTAGATGATTTACACTTACAACGATTGGTATCACATTTACCTTTGCATGAACACCTTTTGTATCCTTGACCACCACTACCGTCTGATATTAGACCAGCAATTTCCCTCAATGATTTTTCTATAGGTACCACCTCATCAAGCGGTATTAATGATATTTTATCGGTAAGATAACTGACTAACTCAGTTATAAGTTAAGATAAGATAAGCTGGGGTCAGTGGTCACGTTAAATTAATATACCAAGCAGTGATGAAACTTAAATAAATTAAATAGTACATAACTTTTAACATTATCCAAAATTGACTGGCTAAGGTTAACATTATCCGGATAATGTTGATATTTCAAGTTTATAAACGAAAAATTACACATTAGCCAACATGGATGGCTAATGTCGACATTAGCCGGATAATGTCGACATTATCCGAATGTTAACATTACCCGTAACATATATACCATTGCACATGTTTATAATGTTTGTATAGTCAATTGCACTTTATGGTCACTATATTATTTTGCCTTGTCAAACTGACGTTGTATGCTATTTATCGATTCATTATTTTTGTCTGCCAAATGATTTTGGTACTTGATATGATTGTCCATTTGTTTATCGATGTCGCACATATGTTTGTGTGCTCCTAAATCGAGGTCACGCATCAGAGGTTTTGCCATAATTTGACAGGAAGGTTATCCAAACCTAGAATGTTATTTTTTATATTTTTGTATATAATATGCAAAACTAAATGACGGTACCGTCGTTTTAGCCGCCAGTTAGTGCCGAATACTTATTGGCTTTTTGGTTTTTTAAGAAAACTTTAAATATAATTACATTCTAGTATCTGATGCCGACAAATGCTAGATCGGTGTGCCAGTCCTTCATATTTGAATATGATTTTAATCTTCCTTTAAAATACCTTAAATACCCATGACCACTGTCCGGATTGTCAATGTACAGTTTCTCGTAACATGTACGTATATCAACTTCAATATCATACACGCTCTTTTCGGCTAATTCTTTATGCATATATTCAGGGACCCAGAGGTGATTTTGATAGTTATTGAAATTATGGTAATTAGTAACCAGCTTCATTTTTTGATAATGGCAACTGGAGTAAAAGTTATTTTTTGTGCATGTTTCACGACGACAACGAAATATGTTTCGGAGCCGGTCTATAGAACCGGAATTTATAATTAAATACTCTACACAACACACGTTATACATTTTAAACGATTTTTTTTAAAAATATAAAATTATAAAGATACTGTAGAACGATCGAAGCACGAATAACTGCAACACGCACCATGACGGACAACTGAATAGTCGTAACACTCGTAACAGCTAACGAAATAATCGATGTACTATCGCTATCGATAAGAAATACCTGCTGATTAATTTTTATTAGAACCCAGAAGAATATAAATATAACCCGTAAAGTGAATATTGTATTTATTGATCAATATTATCAATATGCCGATGTACGTAAAATATGTTCATTATGAAAATATTCTCCAATGTGTTGAATATCCTTCAACTCTTAAAATATGTTTTTAATGCAAAATAAATTTTTGCCCATGATTTCTATGTTTTAAGAATTAACGACATATAAACAAAATATACTATAAATAAACGACTATTTTTAAATGTATAAAAACTAAATATTAAGTTATTTTTTTATTTACTGTTGTATTTCATCTTCTAGTTTTTTATGCATCGATTATTGATTGTTACTATTTATTTTGGTGCAATGATTTAGTCTATGATATGTAGAAATAATTGAATACGTATATTTATTTTTTATGATATGATAAAATTTCAAAATGGTCTGCTTGAAATGTCGCACACCTGAAAAAAAAATACCAGAAATTACGATCCTGTCCTACTGGGTATTATATACGAGTAGAATAAATATCAAGCAGATCTAAAAAAAATGTCTATTCAGCATTTGCTGTAATTCAGTGTTAATAATAAAATTTACTTATATTTATACATTACATGATATAGTCTGTTGGGCATTTCGTTTGTCATTTCACCAAATTTATTTGGCATTTTGTCTAAAATAATCTCTTTGAAATATTGGTTATAGCTTATAGTCTTTTAACTTTTTATTTATGTGAAAATTCAGGCTGTTTTTTGACCTGTCATTGGTTAATTGTTTTGATAAGATTTGTGAAGAATATTTATATTCTTTAAGCATAATTTTAATAGTTTTTATAAATGTACTCGATAGTGGTAGTACTCGTTGTATAGTCAAAAAAATAGAAGTTAAGTGTCACTGTGTCAGGGACAGATAATTAAATTCTTCCATAAATTATTAACAATTACGTCTCGTACATACTTCCATGGTCCGGACGTAAAAATAGTTCCGTCTTGTTAGAACTTTCGCCGGTCGTATCGCGTTAATTGTTCCACTATACGCCACGGCATTTATTTAAAGACATAACTTCCCATATGTGGTAATAATATTTT